TATAGAGCTATTTGAGAGGAATATAAAGGGTGTAGAGGAAGCTATATTGGATTACATAGCTCAGGAGACTACTATTAATAGGAATACTCTCAACACTATTAAAGGTAATACGAGGAGTAGTAGTAGGAGGAGGAGGATACTGAGTACTCGAATGATCCTATCCAGAAACTAAGGATATGCAAGAGGGTAATATGGATAAGGAGAGAGATATAGCAGATAGTAACAACCAGGTAGCTAGGGCACAAGTTGATGTCCTCAATATCAAGGTAGTAATAGTAGAAGTAAAAGTAGCAGGAGGAGTAGTAATGGTAGTAGGCACATAATAATGTCCTATCTGATAGAATAGAAGAGTTGGATAGGCAGTTCACTGAGGCTGAAGATGTGTGTAGAAGGTAGTAGTAGGGGGTAGTAGTGATGATAGGATGGTAAGGGTAGGTACGATGATGAAGTTATGGTAAGGATGAGGTTAATAGATAAAAAACAATTGATGCTAGAAAGATTGAATAAGGAATATGATGAGAAACGTAGTAGTATGGCTGATATGGTAGCAGAGGAGGCTGAGGTACTTGGACCATTAGAGGCTAAGATAAGGGCCATAAGGTTAGAGGTAATAATGATAGATAAGATAGGGCTCCTAATAGGGTAGTAGTAGATATTATTATTATGATGATTATCCGTGTAGATAGAGGAATGTAGAAGGAAATGTAAAAGTATGCAGAGGAAATGGATAATGTCACAAAGTGACTTGATGGGTATAAATGATGAGGAAAGGCAGATAAGGGAGAAGGATGATGTACTCCTTACTAAGATAATAGTAATAATACTACTACCACCTTTGGGGGGAGGGAGTACCTTGGTCATAATCATTTATTAGATATTAGAGGAGAAGATGAGGAGATTAGAGCTAGTGATGAAGGAGAAGGTGAATGATAAGGTGGTGTGTGATAGAGAGATAAGGCGGCTTAGGGAGGATCTAAAGAGGATTAATAAGAGTAATAAA